GGGCCCCCAATGTTTAAGGGCCCCAAAAAGTTGAAAATAAAGAAATTAAAAATTTTATTAAGTTATTGAGCATTGAACATGAAATAAGTACTAATTTGAAGTATGATGAGATAATCAATGAGTTTACTGTAGTTAAAGTACGAAAAGTGGCTTTGCAATAATTTATAAAGTTCATTTTCGTGTTTAAATGGGATTGTAGTGAAATATACAGTACTTACATCAATTTTGTCATGATTTCCTGTATAAACAATAATAATAAAAATTACTTAAAAATTGAAGAAAAATAAATATATGTAGGGGAGGGGGGGGGGAGGGGAACCTCCACATCCGTGTCGGTCCAGCACTCTTTAATATTTGACTTTGCAATTTCCCACTGTGCAACGTTAAAAGACATCATTTTCTTTCCAGTCGTTTTAACAGTTAGTGAAATAGGTCGAAGAGTCCAACTACTAGTCAGGCAGTATGTTAAGTGCGTACCAGGTTGACTTTTATTATGAAAAATATTATTGAACTAATTTTTTGGTTTATCTTAGTATATATATAACTTGTACTCGAAATTTTTTTTTATTATACCACATAAACGTCTGTAAGATCTTTATAGACGTAAGTAGATTAATATAACTTAAAATATTAAACCAAATATAATTTATCAAAATAATATAGATTTCTAAAGTTCAATTTAAAAAACTATTTAACACTATTTTGAGAAAATTCTAATTCTAAAAATTTATTTGGAAAAAAAAGATGAGTTATAATTAGGAAAATTAACAGGAATTTTTTTGAGTTGACCCAAAATAAATTATGCCCCCTACTACCCTTTGTTTCTTCTAAGTCTGACTAATTTGAGTGTATTTTACAAAAATGTTTCAATAATTTTTGCTAATGTTTGTTTATTTATTTATTTTTATTTTATATATATATATATTTTTTTTGCCGTTTCATATATTTACAATAAAGACATATTACATTTATAAAAAATGGCCGGAGCAAGAAGAAGACAATGACTGTCTTATCTCCGAGCCCCGTTTACAAATTGCCCTTGTTTATAAACAAATATAAATAAAATATACAAAAAAACGTTAAAGAATACATAACTTTTGTCTAATAATAAAATGACATTTAAATTGAAAAATTAAAAATAAAGAAAGTTTTGTATACTAATACAAATATATTTGATACATATAACAAAATATATTTAGTGTTAAAAAAGAGTTTAAAGTCTATGGAATAAAAATCTAATTTTTTTTTTTTGTTCTTTTTATTTATTTAAAATAAGTTTTACAATATAAGAATGAATAAGATTCATAAAATACTTATAGTAAAAGTTACAAACTTTGTTAGCGTTAAAATAAGAAGAACGCGGACACTCGCAGAAGATCATAAGATCTTGTCATCGAGAACCGCCTAAACAGATTTAAATAATAAATAATCCTCTCATAATTCATATATAAATATTCACACTTAAATAAAAATATAAATTTTTTACACATTTAATTCTATAAAAACATACAAATATATATACTTATATATATATATATATATATATATATATATATATATATATATATATATATATATATATATATATATATATATATATATATATATATATATATATATATATATATATATATATATATATATATATATATATATATATATATATATATATATATATATATATATATATATATATATATATATATATATATATATATATATATATATATATATATATATATATATATATATATATATATATATATAAGTTAAGAAAAAAGATTTCATATATATAAATTGCGATAAAAAGATTTCTTAAGAGTATTAATATAAAACAAAACAAACTTAAAAATATATAAGAATGTTTTCATTTGAGAAAATAATTTTTTTCAACTTTCTTTTAAATAAGAGAAAGCTCCATTCTTGAGAAAAATCAAAAAGTTTTAATACGACTTTGTTCCATAAAAATGCTCCTCTATATGAAATGCAAAACTTACCAAAATTAGTTTTGAAAACTGGTTGAAGAATAAAATTTTCATTACGCAAATTGTATTTATTTTTAACTTTTAATGAACATAAATTGTGAAAAGAAATTGGAGATGTGCGTGTTTTACTTTTAAACATAAAACATTTTTTAGTTTAAAAGAAGCTTAGCATGAAAAAAACGATTTTTAAAATTAATAAGTCGTGCAACATGTTTCTGTTGGCGATAAAGTGGTTCTAATTTAGTTTTGCTAACACTACCCCAAGCCGCATTAGCATATTTTAGATGACAATGAATAAAAGAGTTGTACAACTGAACTAAAGTATGTCTATTTAGCATGCTTCTTATTTTGAATAGTATTCCTATACTTTTGGAAATTTTAGATGATAAGTTTTCAATGTGTTTTTTCCATGTCAGATTTTCATCAATAAAAACTCGTAAAAAATTTGTAGCCATTACTCTTTTAATTTGCATGTCATCTATAGAAAGAGCAGGAAATTCACTCGATAGAAGACTTTTTGTAGCATGGATGAAAAAGAGACTATTTTGTTTTTTGAATATTAAGAGAAAGCTTATTTAATTTAAATCATTCAGAAATTTTAATTAATTCTATGTTCATACTTTGAAATAGTGTCGCTATGTTGCTATGAGATAAAAAAAAGTTTGTGTCGTCAGCAAACATAATTGTCATTAACTTAGATGCTTCATAGAGATCGTTTATGTATATAAGAAATAGTAGTGGTCCTAGGAGAGAACTTTGGGGAACTCCACATGTTATATCTAACAATTTTGATTTCGATGATACGTCATAGTAAACAAATTGCTTTCTATTGCTTAAATAAATTTTAAAAGCTTCAAAACATTGCCAGAGGTTCCATAATATTTATTTTTTTTATATTGAATTTTATGATCAATCGTTTCGAAGGCTTTAGACAAGTCAATAAAAATGCCTAAAGTAAACTTGGAGTTTTCAAATGATTCAGTAATATATTGTGTTATTTGAAGTAAAGCGTGTTCAGTGGAGTTATTTTTTTTTAAATCCATATTGATTTTTGTATAGGATATTATTTTGAGAAAGATGATTTAAAATTTTATTATAAAGAATTCTCTCTATAATTTTTGAGAAAACAGAGAGAACAGACATTGGACGGTAATTATTACCATTGAGTAAGTCTCCACCATTAAATAATGGTGAAACTCTAGCTATTTTTAATACATCAGGAAAAATTCTTTGTTGAATTGAACATTTAAATAACTTAAAAAGGATATTTTTTATGATACCATAGGCAAAAATAACAATGTTTTCATTGATATCATCAGGACCGACTGCTTTATTTTGCTTTAGCATTTTAAAAGCTCTATCAAATTCATCAAAAGACAATTCAAAAGAATTTAGACAAGATACTAAAGGAAAACTACATCTGTTTATTATTTTATTTATATTAGAAACTTCCTTTGCTAAATTTGGTCCAACTGAAGTAAAGAACTCATTCATTTTGTTTGCTACCACTCTCGGATCATAGAATATTTTATTATCAATTTTAATAGTTATAGGTAGAGTAAATTTATATAGTATCTTTTTTTTTAATTTTTTCTTTGGATTTCAAATTTTTTAGCGAAATTCTTATAAATTGTCTTACTTTCTAATGTTCTCGTTATTAAATACTTTATATACAACTTTTGCTTAACTTTAGAACTTTTTTTATAATCCATGGTGACGTGAAATCTTAATTTTTTTTTAGTATTGTATGTTGAGGAAAATTAATATCATAAATTTCGAAAAATGTTTCAAAAAATGAATTATCGGCTAAATTAGGATAATTAGAATCTATTTTTTTCCAATGAAGTAAAGATAATTGTCCCTTAAAAGCAATGCAATTCGCTTCCGTAAAAAAACGTTTAACGAAAGGTTTATTTTAGTGTAGAATTTTTTTGATGTCTGTGTTTATGGAGAAAAAAATAGGAAAGTGATCAAAGTCACTTTTAATAATACCTTTTTTTAAAGATAAGTTAAAAACGTCAGTTGTAATTATATTATCTAATATAGATGATGATGTTGATGATATTCTGGTAGGCTTATTTATCAACGGTATCGCTCCAATTTCAAAAATGCCATTGCAAAATTTTTTAATGTTATTATTAGTATGGTATTCAAAGCAATTTAAATTAAAATCACCAATTATGTAGTTTAATTTCCTTTCGTGGATAATTTTTTTAATTATATCATTATGTAAAAATGCATTAAAATTCTTAACTACGCCATTTGGTGGGCGATAACAACAACTTAAAATTATGTTTTTGGTATTTTTAGTTGAAATTTCAATACTTAAAACCTCTTTATCGCCATCAGAAATACTTAGGTCTGGCCTGTTAATAAACCGCAAGCATTCATTCACGTAAAAAAATAACACCACCACCTTGCTTTTTATTTTTACGCGCTAAAGAAATTAAATTAAAACCTGGAAGATGGAGATTTGAATTTTTAACATTGTCAGAGCAGCACCATGTCTCTGTAATTCATATTATGTTAAAAATATTAGAAGTTTTTTCTATATTACTATGTAAAGTATCAAAATTTTTTTTAAGCTTCTTATTTTAAAATGAATAACATTAAGAAAATCCCCTTTAAGAAAATCTTTCAATTTATTGTTATAAAAATAAGAGCAGTTTTGCAGAGCACCTGCTTCACTAAAATAATTTTAGTGAAGCAGGTGCTCTGGATCAGATTCATTATCAATTTAAATAATTTTATAACTATGAAATGAAAATAAAATTTACTTAAAATCGCGTGTGAATAATTTATTATAAGTAACCTTAGCCTACTTTCCTTTTCTTCGTAGCTCTTTTGCACCCGCGAATAACTTTCTTCTTATTTCCATAGTACGTTAACTAAAATCTTCATTTATAAACACATTTTTTTTCCAGAGTTTAGCCTTTACGAATCTTTCCATAATCGCGTTCTTGTCTTTAAAGCTTAAAAATTTTACAACAATAGTTCTATTTTTTCTTTTATCACCCAACTCCTTTTTTCCAACTCTATGAGCTCTTTCAATTTCAATATTACTATTTAGTGCCAATTTATCTTTTAAAAGTTGTTTTATTTTACCTTCAGTTTCTTGCCAGGTTTCAATTTCCTTTTCTTCTATACCATTAAGTCTCAAATTATTTCGGCGACTGCTATCTTCAAGTTCAGCCAACTTATCTTTAATAACGTTATCGTTTCCTAAATTCATTTTTGTATTGTTCAATTGATATGGTTGTTTTTTTAGAAACATCTTTATCCGATAGTAAACTTTAATATTTGTCACTGACAAATTTAACACTTTTTTTCAGGTCACTTACTTCATTTTTAAAAAATTTTTTTTCTTGCTGCATAACTAATATTTTGCTTTCTAGTTTATCAATCCTATCGCTAAATAACTTCATTATTGTGTTTTCGTGAATATCCATAATTTCTTTTAATTGAGCAATTGAGTAATATTTTTATTAGCCAATAATAAACACGTCCGTTCGCTAAAGTGTTCACGGAAGAAAAAAAAAAAAAATTGAAGTAAGATTCTTTTAGAAACTGTTTTTAATTTTTCTAAAGAGTAGTGTTTATTATTAAAGTTTTTAATAAAACTTTTCCATAAAAAAGGTCCTCGATATTGAATTTGATAAGAACTTATTTTTAAATTTATTCTCAGAACAATAAAGTTAATCAAATTTGACTCTTTAAGCACTTTCAGAAAGACACGTAAGTTTTTTTTTTCAAGATTTTACTATTTATTATAAAGTTTTCTCAAGAGTTTATCTAACTTTTGACGAAAATATGTTTTATTTAGTTTGATTTTTTAAATAAAAATTTCAAAATGACGTCATCAGTACGAATTAAGGGCCCAAATGTGACACTTTAAGCACTTTTAGAAAGGCACGTAAAGTTTTTCTCATTCAAAATTTAAATGTTAAACTATTTAAGTAGTTTTTGTAATGTCTACTTCATTTCCAAGAAAAAGTTACACGTTGCGTCGAGACTAATACTAGTGAAGCATAATTTTAAAAGTTATTTTAAGCTATTAACACTAAGTTACACTTACAAATTAGCTATTAACACTAAGTTACACTTAGTGTTAATAGCTAATTTGTAAACGCTATTATAATTTAATAGCGTTTACAAATGCTTAGTATAAATATGTCGTAATTTCTTTCAAAGATTATGTCGTCAATCTTAGGCAAAGTGCTAAGTCTTGATGCAGGTATTGGTGAAGCAACTGACCATTATATCGACGACATAATCGTTGATTTGAAAAAGACATCGGTTGAAAATGTCGTAAATTATTTGGAACGGTATGGTTTGTTAAAAAAAGAGCCGGAAGAATGTGATGGTGCACGAGTTTTGGGTTAGCAAATATTTAGAAACGATTATAAAGTGCTTTGTTGGAAACGCGGCAATATCATTTCAAAGTCAGAAGACATCGAAAATGAAAAAATAACACGTTAGAGATTGTTTTCAATATGTGGTCACTTTATTGGACACTATCCAATTAGAAATTGGCTCAGAATTGCCTGCAGTTTTACAAAACGTTATAGTCATGGAGATGCTAAAGATGATCTAATAGGAGATCAAGCACAGCCATGGTTGGTCGAAATAATGCGCCGTTTGGAAGCTAGTGATCCTGTAAAAGGGACATGGAATGCTGATGGTATTCAAAATGGAGCAATATTGTGGTGTGATGTTAGTAGTATTGCAATGGGTGTTGCAATTGAATATAACGGCGTAATAGTTGAGGATGCAGCATGGCTACGAAGTATAAATGATGTCATGCATTTTAATACGGCCGAATTAGATACTGTGGTGCGTGAAATAAACCTAGCTGTTAAGTGGGACATCAAGAACCTATTGATATTTACCGACTTGGTTCATGGATGTTGAAAAGTGTGCTGACTGAAAGTCATAGGGTTCGGTCAAATGGACTATCAAAAATGCTTATCAAACGAAGACTTTCATTATTGCGTGATTTAATAAAGGAATACAGTACGAACATCATAATGAAGTGGGTTCCGTCTTCTAAAAACAAAGCAGATGTATTAACAAGAGTTTCAAAAAAGTGGTTAAATGAAATTTCACGAAAAATAAAATTTTCGAGAATACTTTTACTATTTATTTTTCTGATTTTTTAGTTTTTATAAAATTTCCATTTTAAATTTATTTTTCATTATGTATATCAAATTTTAAAGTAATTTAGGTGGTTTCAGATCAAGTGACTCTTGTTTTTATTTCTTCTTTTTTTGTGTATAATTCTCTTTTGATTTATGGTGTAGACATAAACTTGTGTACAAAAACATATTTTTAAAAAAATTTAATTTTGTAAAAATGATAAATTTCTGAGACCATGTTTTTTTGTATATTTTATTTTCAACTTAGGTTGTATGATTCTGGAATCCCTAATCAGCATTTAATGCTAATCTCAGTGAATTTGAAAACATTTTTAAATCAAAAGTCTAAACCACACATTTGAGCACTTTTTGACAAAAGTAACTATTTTCACAAAATTCCTTATTTTGTTGACTTCTTTGCTAATCTGAACAAGTTGAATTTATAGCCAATAATATATTCAACTCGTTTCTCCGCGCAGCGGCCTTGTTCGTCAAGGTTCGTGTTTCGGAGTTATAGAGTTGAGAGAGGGTTATAGCCAAAAAATAAGTAGCCTCCTCGTCTGTAGTGGCCTTCTCGGCCTTGAGGAGGTGAAGTAAAATAAAAAAAAAAAAAAAAAAAAAATATATATTTTTCACGTGCATCTTAATAAAGTTTTTTATTTTAATAACTTTGTTTGACAAAGTTAAAATAAAAGTTTATTTTACTAATGAAAAACAAAAGAGGTTTAGTGTTATTAATAATTCAACTGCCCATTAGACACCAGCAATTTCTGGAAATTTATCACTTCAAGCTGGAGTAATTATCTTATAAAATAATAGGAATTTTAGCGAAAAAAGTAACTTTTAAAGTTGAGTAGAAGCTTTCTTATTTTAAAAATAAGCATTAAAATTCCAACTTAAATAATTTCTTATAAGTTGCCATTTTTATTGGATATATCGGGGTGTTCATTCTGCTGGATAAACTGAAAGAACTAGAAAGGACTGTTTTGAAAGGCATACTAAAAAAACTGAAAAATATATTTTTTGTGCATAATTGATTCAATGATTATAAAAAACACATTTTCCAGTTATTCAATTAAGTTTTTTAAAAATAGTTTTGTACATTTTTTTAAGTTTGTTTTGAGTTGACACCCTGTGTATTATGACATCCGGCCTTAAAAAAATGTAAATAAACCAAAAAGTAGAGTATCAAATTGTAGATTGAACCTTGCAAAAGCGTTTTTCTGTTATTTTTAAGGAGTTATAAAATCTTTAATATATATTAACTATATTAACAAACTTAATTTCTTACAATAATAAAAAAATGCCTCCTGTAAAAAGAACTAGACGGTGTAATTTATATGGTGGTAGCCCTTCTGATCTTCCTATTACAGATCTAGCAACTTATGGTGATGTAGCAAGATTTTTCTACAAATTAAAAGATTTAGATGGTATTAAAGACAAAAATGTTATTATTCAAAGAACGCTTTGTAGTTTAAAAGAAATATGGTTCCATTGCCGGATCAAGGGAGGCTAGGGGGACTATAGCCCCAGGCCCCGCTGCTTTAGGGGCCCCAAAAAATTTTGGAGGACCTTCCCTTTTTTATGTCATGTTTTTAGGCTCTGCTCCATAAAAAGGCCTCCAAAAACAAAAATAGCCCCGGGCCCCAAGAAGTTTTCATCCGCCTCTGTATGGTTTAATTGCAATTCCAAATTAGTTTTGTTACCTGAAAAAAGTAGGAGGTATTGACAACTCTGTTTTATCACCTACCTCAAGAAATACAAAGCAAACAAAAGCTTCTGATGAAGAAATTTATATTAAAGAGTTTGACACAATCATGGATTCAGATCAGGTAATAAATTTTGACCTGTAAACTTTGATTGTATGATAAAAACTATATATATTCTTAAATTTCTTAATTCTTTTAAATATAATGCTCTAAAATTAATTAGAGCATCTTAAATGTTAATACAACTAGATGTAAAATTTTAATTGTTATGGTTTTTAATTTCTGGAAGTTTTGTTGTATTTTTTTCTATAATTACAGTGTGAAACTTCAATTTCATCATTAAATCAGACTAGATTAAAGTACTATAACACTACCCACTATCTCAAATTTGCTTTAGAGATAATTAGATATGGAATATCAGATAAGGCAGCTGCCCCTGTGGCTAATGCTCTACTTCAAGATATTGGTTATCTACATCTTAATGATGCAATTGACCCAAGTAAAATGAAGAGAGAGAAAGCGAGTATGCTTTAATGCTAGTTCCCAGTGGGCACCCGACGTCAATCCGACGTCGGATTTACGTTTGATTTTCATCAGCGATGTCAAAAGACCTATTCCGACGTTGTTCCGATGTCAGTAAAATGACGTCGGGCGATGTCTTTATCTCAACATCCCCCGACGTCGTTTCGATGTATTTTGACGTTGTTCCGACATCTTATAAAAGACGTCCAAAAAACGTCGCAGTACTGACATCGATCCAACGTCGATAAAAAGACGTCGGGCAACGTCATAATATTAACGTACTCCGATGTCTTTTGACGTCTTCCGACGTCAATCCAACGTCCTTAAAACGACGTCGGAACAACGTCGTAAGACATCGCTGATGAAAATTTAATCCAAACCCAACAATATGTGTGCAATTGCGCTCTTCAATAATTATGTGAACTAAGCGTGTTTTTTTATAAATGGAAAAAAGTTTGAATAAAGGTTGATAAAACATCATGAGGTTTTGTATGATGCACTAGCATAGTTTTTTAACTATTAACATTTTTGAGTATACATTTTTTATAATATATACCTATTCGTTTTAATATTTATATAATATTTAAACAAAATTATTTCTTATCAAAGTAATAATTCCCAAATAGCTACAAGTATAAATTACTAAATAAACTCATCTATTACTATGTCCTTGTGGTGTAGTGGTAAGCGCATAGGATTTAGTGTCTAATAGATCGAGGTTCGATTCCTGCCAAAAGCAGCGTTTTTTAGTTTTCAAAAAACACGTTGGATTTACATCGGAATGCCGACGTCGCGCGATGTCAGTTTATCCGACGTCAAATAACATTTCCATTTCCAACGTAAACCCAACGTCGATCCGACGTCGA